CAGGCCATCTCTATGAATGGTCCTTGGCTGGAGTATCAGTCTCAGAAAAGACCCCTATACCCAGATTTTTTGGTTCTATTGCTCTCCTTGTGGAGCTCCTGTCCTCTCCAGGTCTTTCTATCTTCTACTTTCATAAGATTCCCTGCACTCTGCCCAAAGTTTGGCTATAAGTCTCAGCATCTGCTTTGATACCCTGCAGGATAGAGTCTTTCAGAGACCCTCTGTTGTAGGTTTCTCTCCTATTCCCTGTTTTCTCCCTCCTCTGATGTCCATCCTCTTTGCCTTTCTGAATGAGGATTGAGCATCTTGGCCAGAGTCCTCTTTCTTAATAAGCTTCTTTAGGTGTACAGATTTTAGTATGTTTACCCTATATTATATGTCTAATATCCACTTATGTGTGAATATATACCCTGTGTGTCCTTCTGCTTCTGGGATACCTCACTCAGGAGGATCTTTTCCAGTTCCCACCATTTGCCTGCAAATTTTATGATTTCCTTTTTTTTTAAATTGCTGAGTAATATTCCATTGTGTAGATGTACCACAATTTCTGTATCCATTCCTCCGTTGAGGGGTATCTGGGTTGTTTCCTGGTTCTGGCTATTATAAATAAAGCGGCTACAAACATGGTTGAGCAAATGTCCTTATTGTGTACTTGAGCATCTTTTGGGTATATGCCTAGGAGTAGTATAGGTGGACCTTTAGGAAGCGCTATTCCTAGTTGTCTGAGAAAGCGCCAGATTGCTTTCCAAAGTGACTGTACAAGTTCACATTCCCACCAGCAATGTAGGAGGGTTCCCCTTTCTCCACATCCTTTCCAGCATGCAACACAACCATCTTAACCCCAAATTCTTTTTTTAATTTAATTTAATTTTTTGTATTATTAGTTACATTTTATTAACTCTGTATCCCAGCTGTATCCCGCTCTCTTATTCCCTCCCAATCCCACTCTCCCTCCCTCATCTCCACCCTGCCCCTTTCCAAGTCCACTGATTGGGAAGGCCCTCTTCCCCTTTCATCTGACCCTGTTTCATCAGGTATCTTCAGGACTGGCTGCAAAGTCCTCCTCTGGGGCCTAACAGGACTGCTCCTCCCTTGGGGGGTGGGGAGGCCAAAGAGCCAGTCATTGAGTTCCTGTCAGAAATAGTCCCTGTTCCCCTTACTATGGGAAACCAATTGGTTACTGAGCTACCACGGGCTACATCCTAGCAGAGGTTCTAGGTTATATCCATACATGGTCCTTGGTGGAGTGTCAGTTGCAGAAGAGACCCCTGTGCCCAGATATCTTTGTTAACCTCAAATTCTTAACATCTCTGGATGGAGTACTTCACTCCATGCCCAGACAGACCCACACAACTATCAATTTGTTTTTCTATCCCTAAAGTAGATTTTTCCATGCCATGAACCTGTGTCTCACAGAATGTAGCCTTTTGCATTTGGCTTCCTCCTCAGCAAGGGACACATAGTGGACTTCTAAAGGGGCAATGCACTGTTGCTGCACCTGTGACATAATTTCCCAGTTTGATTACTCATTGTAAGCACACCTGATGAATTGTAGGCTCAGGTTTTTTGCACTTATAAGTGACATGTTCAATGTGACCCAATTTAAGTTTTCCATCTTGGTAAGGCCTATTCCTCACACCAACCATTCACCTGCAAGTGGAAGTGAATGATTCTTGAAAAAGTCAAGAGACATTTCAAAGTCAGGTGACCCCAGGAAAGCCAGAGAGGAGAGAATGGTTAGGGACAAACGGAGGTCCCAAGGCTGCCAGTGTTGTGCTTCTTTGCTCTGGGTGATGGCCACGGGGGATTTCTATCATGCCCAGACACAGGGTGCCCTTCCCACCATGAGACTAGTGTGACAGGAACACTACAGGTATGCTTCCAACAGTCACATGGTGGTCACAACATCCAAGGGCATGTGGCCATAGGTGGCCCACAGGAGTGTTTCCCCTTTGGAGGAAATGGCTGATGGGAAAATGCAGAGAAGGAAAGAGCTACTGGAAATTGATGACAACTGTATGTAAAGTGGGTAAGGATCACCCAGGAGTTGAAGACAGCAAACTGGAACTTGTGCAGTGATTTTCCACCGTGACTCTTTTTTTTTTTTCTTTTTATAATTTATTTATTTTACGTGCATTAGCGTTTGTCCGTGCCAGGGCTTTGGATCTTGGTGTTAACAGACAGTTGTGAGCTGCCATGTGGGTGCTGGGAATCGGCAGGTCCTCTGGAAGAGCAGCCAGCACTCTTTAACTGCTGAGCCATTGCTCCAGCCCCTCCCACAGTGACTCTTACACTATGGCTGTCATGTCACAGTCCCATATGCAGAGCACTGAGCCTCTGCACAGATGACTGTGGCTGCCTGGCTCCGGGGAGCCAGGCTTGGGGGTCTTATCTGAACCTTGAAAAGGGGACCATCTATTCTGTCACCAAAGTTCCAGGCCGTGTTTAGAAAGGAACTCATGGGAGCACTGGCTTTCAGTCCCAGTGGGATGTTTCTAGGGGCTCCCCAGTGCTAGAACAGCAAAGGTAGGCACACAACCTAGCCACACTCTGCAAGGCCCTCACAGAGCTGAGTTGCAGCAGGAGGCAGGATAGAGCCTGGGTGCTCTCCCAAGCACACCATCTTCTTGTGAGGGGGGGTGAGGGAAGGAATGATGTGTAGGCTGCCTTCCTGTGCTTAGCTGGTTAGCTTCTCATGTTATGAAGCAGGAGCTCTCTGGGGTACCAGGCATATCCTACACTAAAGGACAACCAGGTGGGATTACTACAGTGAAAGTAGAAAATGAAAGGGATCAGGTAGCTGTGGAATGTATGTCAGGGTGTCCCCTCTAGACACCATAGGTTGAGTTCAGGGAGACAACACATAATACTGATGGTAGGACAATCATAGACCTCAGAGCCTGAATGGACATGGACAGAGAGGACTCAAACCACCGACTCAGAGAGCCTCCTCAAGAAGGTGGCCTGGGTTCCTCAGGCTGTGGCTCTCATCCTGAGCCACGCGGCTACTTCTGGCAGGGCTAAGAGCTAAGTGAAGTCCGACAGATGTTGCAGCTGGGCTTTTGGCAGCCTGCACAAGTCAGTCGGTCCTGGCTGTTGTGCATTCTAGTACCAGGCACTGTTCTTGCAGGCTCAGGGCCTTTGTCGCCAGTGCAGCTGCGTGCTGAAGCCATGGCAGGATACCAATGGCCCTGTGAAAATGACCTGCCAGCCCTGCCCCTACCCTCTGACCACACAGCCTTTCTCTGCTTATTCAGACCTACTGCGGCCCAATATTGCTGCTGTGACAGCAGGCTGATCCTGCTGTCTGACATTGTGACATCAGGCTGATCCTGCTGCCTCTAGTGGGAGGAAGTGGCAGGTTTCCAGGTTCAGTTCTGAAACATAAAATTGGGCCCCATTGGAAAGCAGGAGACAGGAAGGTCCTCATCATTCCATTCCCCACCCTGTCTCAGCTTTTAAGGCGATTCCTTAAAATTCTGCTCCCCATATTTTAAGGTAAGAACCTTACCAATTCAACCATCACCCCAGGACAAGATATTTTCATCCCAGAGAAGGATCAAGAGCCTACTCTAGCAGTTCCAACCCTTTGACAGCACTCACCTTTGGGCAGTGAGTTCGCTGATTTCCACTCTCTTCTCCTCCATGCTCACCATGTTTTAGGGCCTGAAGCACCACTCTAGCAAACACCAACTCTGCCTTCTGAGGATTTGATCCTTTACAGACTGGGGACCCACCCCTACACCTGCTACTCCCCAAGTCAGACCTTTCTTCAAGGGTAATCACAAGCCACTCACAGATTTACAAGCATGCACAGCCTGTGAATAGACTCAATGGCCCTGAATTTTCTTTTCACCTGTTCCCTGCATGAAATGAACAATCTCTGGTGAATGGGAGGTGACAGAACCTTCTCCTGCCTGACCTCATGCAACCAAAGATCTGCCTGTGAGTTCCTGCCAGGTTCTGGGGCCTGGATCAAGGGCCCCAAAGCTTCCCAACTCTCTGTGATGCTAACTTCAGAACATGGGGCTCAGGTAGAGGTCCTTCGGCCTCAGGAGACAATCTGGAAGACAGACCTGGGATATGTAAGTATCATACCCAGGAAAACCTGTGCCATGCGGGAGGTCCAAAGTTGCCTGGTGGCTGCCATGCTTGCATGTGTGGATGCATCGTCTCAGCAACCAATGAGAGCAGAAGAAAGGCAGTTGGCTGGTCTGTATGAGAGGATGTAGTGGTTCTGGTCCCTGACCCTCCTCTCTTAAGCTGCTAGTGAGCAGTCCCTCCAGATTGGCTCAGAGAAGCCACTTAACCACCATCTCCAGCTCCAGAGAAGAACAGGTGACATTCTGTTTTCTCTCCAACCCATTTCCCCACCATGAGTTGCTCCAACTTTGTTTTGCTCCACTCCCCACTGGGGTGTTATCTTGGTCTGCATCCCGATAATACAATGGGTGAGGGGTAAATCAAAGGACACGAAAACTGAGTTCCCAAGGTGAAGGTTTTGCAATAGCCCAAGCATAATGTGCAAGTTTTGGTCAAACCCTCCCTGGATGTGTTGCCTCCACAAGGAGAGAATAGATCCAGAAAGGATGGATCCCAGGGAAGGGGTAAGATGAGTCTAAATGATACCCTAATGTCTGCTGAAATGATCCAGAATGGAGGTCCCCCTTTAGTTCAAAGGAAGAGCTCAGAAGTTTCTGCTGAATTCAGGGAACATCAGGCAAAAACAGGTTCTATGACTATTCCAGAGAAGGGCAGTAGTCAAGGAAGGAACAGGGACCGTGTGGAAGTGATGAAATGCAGCCTGGGCCAGGCTCCACCTCACAGAATCCAAACCTAGCACATAGGGATGAATGAGTGCAAGGCACCTTCTCAGAAGCAGAAATGCTTAGCCCAGGTTACCCTGAGGGCTACCGTTCTTAAGGGCCTGGGGAAAGGAACAACTCCCCATCCTTTTGCTGTGCCCCGACAAAAAGAGAAAGAACAGAAGACAGCAAAAACGACTTTAATATGCTGGGGCTGTCACCATGTGGAGACAGGGGGCCCAATCAGGGCAGCAAAGGTGGTTCCGACTGTAGAATAAGTAGAAGGAAGAAGCAAGGCCACATCCCCGGGGATCCATAGGTGGTAAGATACTGAATCCAGCCTGGCAGGCGAGACCTGGCTTCCTGGGCAGTCAGGAGTATGGGAAGGGCTGCAGATAGCAGTACCCTTACTTCAAAGGGCCTGGAACCTTTTGTTGAGGGCCCACATGTCGGCTGAAACGCAGGCATAAATGAGTATTCCAGACACAGACAGAGAGAACTAAACTACCCCAATTAACCTCTTTGCTCCTCTAACCACAGGGAATCCCCAATCAGCAATCTGCCTCCCAGTCCCTTTCCAAACAGTCCTGGGACTGATTCCTCCGCGCATCACTGAGTTCCAGGCGGAAATGTCCTCTGCAAGAGAACATTGTGGGCGGGCACTTGGGAGAACATACGCGCACAGCTCTTGTTGCATGCCACAGCAGTCAACGCACAGAGGACTTGTGGTACCTGCTTGGCTGGCCTTCCCTTGGCGCCTGACCGCCCCCCCCCCACCTCCGCCCTTACACACCCCTGCCCAAGGTCAGTCATACCTAGCTGCTTCCTCAGCCTGTGTGCTTCTTTCTCTAGCAAAGGACACTAATCCAGAAGACAAAAAAGTGAAAAGAAAAAAAAAAAAGATTAACACTTAATGTCCTGGCCTCCTTTCCATTTACACGCCCCACCCCACCCCCAAGTCCTTATACATCCCACCCTCAGTCCCGTGACAAGACCAGCACACAATCCTGAGAGAAAGGAAGTGGGCACAGGAGCCAGATTCACTAAGAGAACTCTACCTGCCGACATCCTAGTAGCCCTGGTGCTTGATTCTGCTTGTCCCCAACAGGGAATGGGGGAACCACAGATAGATCCTCATCACCTGAAAGAAAACACAAGATGCAGCATCCAGGCTTGAGATCCAGACGGGAAGGGCCTGGGGAGTTGTAAAATGAGGCAACATCGCCCTCTGCTGGCAGCGACTTGTACTTTTTCTTGGTTCTTCAGCTCCACCCTACCCGCCTGCCTTCCCTGCTGCCCAGGAACAGAGGCTCTACGGGCACTAGAAATTTAGCCCTGGGCTGGTGCTAATAGGGCAACAGCCACAGCCAGGAACTTAGTGAAGTCCAGCACAGTAGGGCTCACCAGAAAAGATTTGGAGTGCTGAAAGCCAGCTTCTAGAGTTGGAGTTGCCCCACTCTTTATAGCCATGTATATCATGATCCCTCTCATGTGAGAACACGGCCTGCCCATACCCAGTCTCCCATAGGCTCTCTGCCTAGACAGTGAAGCCCAGAAATAAGGCTGCAATCCCCAGTTACAGAACCTAACATTTCCCTCCTCTATCCCACTGCTATCAAACCCCAAAGACTCACCCCAAGGATTGAAGTCTCTCTGGCTCCAGGACAAAAGGAATGAACTTTCTGGAAAGTGGGGTGCTCCAGTGTTGGCATCACCACTGTTCATTTCCGCATGATCCACCAACTTGCAAGGTTGCTCTGCCCTGTGTGTTGGAACCTCACACACAAAAATTCTCACTGAGTATAGGTTGAGGAGGGGCTGAGGGGTAAGTGGAGTAACAAATGGAGGCTTGTGAAACTCATCCCATCTGCACCCTCTGCTCCACATCCAGGCTCAGGTCAAAAGGCAGAGCTCAGCCAGGAAGGAGCCTACAGGCACTGAAAAGGCTCAGGTCCTAGCCTGGCTTCCTTGGAAAGGAGTCAGGGAGGAATCAGGAAGCCCTTGGGACTGACTATACACCCAAGTTGTACAGCCCACACTTCACGGGATCTCTGGAACCAAATCACCCAAACTGGCAGCCAGGCCCACTTCCTACCCCAGCCTGATTAGAGAGAAGCAAACACACAGGGATGGGAATGTAACCCAGGCTCTCCTGATATCCACCCTTACTTACTGACCCTGAACATCCTAGTCAGGATTAGTGTCCCCTGACAAACCTCCAAGCCAAGGCAGGGGCAGAGGGAGCGGGGGGGGGAGAGAATGTGTGGGCTGGGAAGGAGAAGAGGAAAGGGAAGGGGAAGGAAAGGGTGAGAGGAAGCAGAGGATTAGTCTATTTACTTGGGCATGGAGAGTTTCCTTGAGCTTGTAGGACCCTGGTGTTGGGGTCACCACCGAGAAATTCTTCATGATGTGTTTACGCACAAGGCCCCTGTCTGCCCTGGCTGCTGGCAAGGTCTTCCTTGTATTCTTTACCACTGTTTTCTTCCTGGGTGTAGCATCGGTGGGCTCAGTGGCCTCTACAGGTGTTGTGAAGTGCTTCTTGGAACTCTCTAGTGTAGAGGCACACATTACTGTAGGGATGGTGGCTGTTTCCACAGGAGCTGCCTTGGGTCTTTGCCCCCACAGTATGCCAGGCCTTCTCCCGATGACTTTTGGGGTATCCTGTAGGGGCTTCTTCTCCTGGGTTGATTTCTTTTTAGGATTAGCCTTCCAGAGCCCACCAGCAACAGCTCTTGGGTAACGGGACCTGCTTTGTTCCTTGCCTCTGAACACAGCTGCTTTTCTGTTCGAACAAGAGGCCCCTAGCTTGCTCATCCCCAAGGTGTGGCTCCTAGGCGCAGACACCTGCTGAGAGCTAGCCGTGTTATGAAAACTGTCTCTGGGCTGGACATTCCTTTTCCGGGTTCTGACTGCTGGATTCATAGCATTGCCAGATACGATCTGTTCTCCATTCTTGAAGCAAATGGTCACCCTCATGACTTGCACCTCACTACACTCATCTGTCGAGGAGTCAGAGTCAGGCAATGGATCTTGGATCTCTTCAGGGACGACTTTCTTACTCTTGACGCATTTCTTCTTCTTTTTTGTCCTGCAGGCCCTGGCTCCTTTGGCCCTTCGGTGCTGGACTGGGGCCACAGAGCCCTGCTTTACATCTACCAACCTTTTGCTCGGCCTGCCTCTCCTGCTACTGTCTGCCTCTGCGCTCATCGGAGGCTGTTGGGTGGTACAGCTTTTTGAGGGTAAGTAGCTTCTAGCATCCCGGCTCACCTGGTCAGCTGGCTGTCGCACCTTCTTGTCAACCTTGTCACTGACAAGAGGTAAGCAGTCCACAACATCTCCTTTGTCGATGGCTGAGGCTACAGACTGCTCTCCGTGATCTTGATAGACCACCACTCCCGATTCCAGCACCTGTAATTTGGACCTTGAACCAAATTCAGAGTTGTGCTCAGTCTCAACCTCATTCTCACTTAGGCTATTCGGTGAAGAGCTCATGTCAGGGTCTAGGTTGAGATCCCGTAGTGAGCAGAGACCATCGAGACGGATGGCAGGGGCTTCCCCATCCTCGGGATCCAGGACTACTTCTTCAAGTGCCACCACCTTGTTGAAGCTCAGGTTTTCGGGGATAGTCTACATGGCCTGGCCTGTGAGGACAACGGTATCCCTAGTCTTCACTGGACCACCTAGGCCTTCAGAGACATGGTCACCATAGACACGCACACACTAGTGCGAACCTCAAACAAGAGAAACCTTCTAATGCCTTGATGTCCTCACCATGGCCTTCTCATTGGCTTACCCTCCACCAATCAGATCAATCCTTGTTGAGCCATTGTCCAGGCCCTAACCAATAAGAATAAGGATGCTTGGTTGTTGAGAATTCTGATCCCAGCTGGTCCAAACCGGTTTTGGGGGGGGGTGTTGTAAGGGGCCTTTGATGGAGTTGTGGAGGAAACTGAGGTAGGTGGGAGGTATGGTATGTGGATGGAACCTTGAGGTTATGGTGCAGTCTGCCTTTTCTATCTTTTCCTCAACTTCTCTGGCAGGACTTCTTATGGAAGGAGAACTGCACCCTTTGAGGCTCTTTCTCCTTGTAAATTGGAGGAAATAACCACACATAGGCCAGGGGCTTGTGAGGATTCAGTGTCGTGACGCCTGTGGAGCAGTCAACACAGAAACAATTTGAGAGCCTCTGTTTCATAGCCAGACATCCCGCTCAACAGGACAGTGGGCAAAGAAGACCATAGCCAGATTGGTACTCTACAGAAGGGACAGATACATAGAAGATGGTTTTCGAGCCATGGGCTGTATAGACAGCAACTGTGACTGTAAGGGACCATGTTCCCACGATGCTGTATTGACAGGCTACAATTTTCCCACTTCTTCCAGACCCCATGCCATCCTCGCCTCTAGTTAAGGCAATGAGGAGGGAATCTCCTCGGTCTAGGACCAAGACATTTAGTATCATGGATCCTGAAGTTGCAAACTGAAATCAATGTTCACAGACTAGGTTTGCAAACACGAAAGAGCTTTAACCCTACCAAGGGTGGTCGAGGTTCAAAATTTTAGTCTGCCTACCTCTTGAGGTGAAGGATGCCACTAGTAAAGGGCATCTCCTTGAGTGGGTAATTTGGCAGAGTCAGTGAAACACAAATCACAATGTGCTTGGCAATTTCCTTAAGCACTCTGATAAATTTCCCATCCCTTTCAAGACAGCACCCTAGGTTCGGGTAACTGCTAACTGCTGCCCTTCTAAAGTGAAGAACTCAGTGCCGGGAGGGCAAGGACACAGTCACAAGGGTGTTGACGAAGGTAACCTTTTGGGAACTCTCTGAATTCCCCTGGGTAAGGGAATGCACTCTTGCAGACTAATCCATGCACCCAGCTGGTGAAATGGAGGCAGCCTACACCCCAAGGTTGTGTTTGACATGTTTCAAAAGTAAGAATGACTGCATAAAGTAAATTCCAGGATGTTTCCTAGATTTGGATACACATGTGTGAATTAAAAATCTCAGTCAGGCATATGTGATATTTGGAAGTGTATACAGAGGAGTACAGTTTAAAGGCCTAGAATGGAAACACAAGGAAGGCCTTGCAGGGACAGGGAGGCACCAGTGTTATCATACTTTGCCTGAGACTGTCTTGTACCCAGCTTTTCCCAGCTGAAAGTGGGAGTAGTTCTTTCCTTGTTTTCTAGAAGGTTCCAGAGTGCTAGTATTTCCCCTGCTTGCCACTGAATTTTTCCATTTTTTACAATTTATTTTTATTAATGACACTTGATTCACTTTGTATACCCCCTGTAGCTCCCTCCCCTCCTTTCCACCTAACTCACCCTCCCTCCCTCTACCCCACCTGTACCCCTCCCCCAGTCCACTGATAAAGGAGGTCCTCCTCCCCTTCCCTCTGATCCTAGTCTATCAGAACTCATTAGGAGTGACTGCATTGTCTTCCTCTGTGGCCTGGTAAGGCTGCTTTCCCCTCAGGGGGAGGTGATTAAAGAGCAGGCCAATCAGTTCATGTCAGAGACAGTGCCCATCCCTATTACTATGGAACCCACTTGGACTCTGAACTGCCATGGGCTACCTCTGTGCAGGGGTTCCAGGCCATCTCTATGAGTGGTCCTTGGCTGGAGTATCAGTTTCAGAAAAGACCCCTGTGCGCAGACTTTTTGGATCTGTTGCTGTCCTTGTGGAGCTCCTGTCCTCTCCAGGTCTTACTATCTCCCACTTCTTTCATAAGATTCCTTGCACTGTACCCAAATTTTGGCTATGAGTCTCAGTATCTGCCTCAATACCCTGCAGGGTAGAGTCTTTCAGAGGCCCTCTGTGGTAGGCTCCTGTCCTGTTCCCTGTTTTCTCCCTCTTCTGATGTCCATCCTCTTTGCCTTTCTGAATGGGAATTAAGCATCTTACCCAGGGTCCCCCTTCTTGATTATATTCCTTGGGTATGCAGATTTTAGTATGTTTATCCTATATTATATGTCTAACAGCCACTTATGAGTGAGTATATACCCTGTGTGTCTTTCTGCTTCTGGGATACCTCACTCAGAATAATCTTTTCTAGTTTCCACCATTTACCTGCAGATTTCATGATTTCCTTGTTTTTTTATTACTGAGTAATATTCCATTGTGTAGGTGTACCACAATTTCTGTATCCATTCCTCAACTGAGGAACATCTGGGCTGTTTCCAGCTTCTGGCTATTACAAATAAAGCTGCTACAAATATGGTTGGGCAAATGTCCTTGCTGTATACTTGAGCATCTTTTGGATATATGCCTAGGTTCCCAGAAGAACTAGAGAGCCAAGTTTCTATAGTTCTCTCTGGTCTTAAGTATTTATCAATCTACCAATCCATAGAGCTAGTTTCATGAGCATTTTGTTGAAAGCACTTTGATTATTCAATACTGTTGGCTTTCTAACACCCATCTGAACATAGCTTATCTCACACTCCTGTGCCTGTGTAAATCACCTGCCGCTGTCTTGTGAGGAAGTGCTACAGACTTCACTTGGGGCCATGTTTAAGGGGAAATCATCAGAAAAGCACAAAAATGTAAAATATGTGACACTAAGAAAAAGATACTTGATTGTAACTTAAAAGGGAAGATAGTCCACATTTTTTACCCAATTGAGTACACACTTGGCCAATGAAGTAACTTTAATTTTTAATCCTATTTGCACATGGTTGCTAATGGCTCTGAACGTCCACCTGTATTGACCTTGGGGCAGAAATAAAGTTTAGTAAATAGTTGAATTAGCAACCATGGAATCAGCGCTTTATCACAGTGATTTAATCTCAATCTGTATGCTACTCTATGCCTTTGGGTTTTTTTTAAAGTATTTATTTTTATTTTATGTGTATTGTTGAATGAATATTAATAATTAATATTTGTTCATAATATTTTAGTAAAGCCTTCTTTATTCCTTGACCAGCAATTTCCCCAAATAGCCACACATAGGGACTATGATTTATTCAAAGCTAAGCACAGAGCTGAGTATAAAATCTAATCTACTATCCTGCTATCAGTCTATATTTTTCCCATCCAAAATCCCCAATACATTATTATCTTCTCTGGAATCAGTCCTCTCTCTCTTCCTTTCCTGAATCTCTGTTCTTGTAGTCTATCTCCACCCCACCACACCCCCCACCAAAATTGCTCACCTTGGCTGTTCCTCCCTCTCCATACTCAGCCCAGTGTCAGCAATTTTATTATCCAATCAGAAATAATTTGGGAGGCAAGGGTTACAAAACGTCATTTTGGGTCCGTGAGTGTTTGCTCGTAAAAGACAGCAAGCAGACCTTGGGGAGCAAAATACATAGCACCAGACGAACCCCCAAAATGTATGTATAAGTGGCTGCATGTATATTGTGCACCAGGTGTGTCTGATGCCTAAGAAGGCCAGACAAAGGTGATGGATCCCCTGGAACTGTATCAGTAGATGCCTGATGTAAGTGCCACCAGGCCTGTTTTGGTTTTTTTTTTTTTTTTTTTGACAATGTTATGCTTGAATACTGAATTTACATCATTTCTACCCTTCTCTCTTCCAACTCCTTCTATGTTCTTTCGCTCCATTGAAATTCATGACTTCTATCTACCTGTTTAGCTAGCTATCTGTCTATCTATCCATCCATTCGTCTATTTATTTATCTATCTATTGGTTTTTTGAGACGGGGTCTCTCTGCATCCCTGGCTGTCCTGTAACTTACTCTGTAGACCAAAGCTGGCCTCAGAGATCTGCCTGCTTCTGCCTCCTGAGTGCTGGGATTAAAGGTGCCTGGTTATGACTTCTTTTTAAATGATTACTGTAAATACTGGGTTCATTGCTTATATACATGTATTTGGGTTTAAAAGTTTATGGGGTTGGATTCTTTTTTTCAGAATCTCTCTCTTTTTTAAATTATTCCTTCACATCCCATATTGCTTGCCTTGATTCATTCAGCTGTTTATTTGTATCATTTTGAATTCATTGATGATTTTAAGTCAATCTTTGAATCTTTGTCCCAGCATTTCATCCACTTCAGTTACTGGAGTCATAAACCTCTGAAGGAGTTATATTGACTTTGTTTTTGCATTGAGATCTGTGTGTCTGGTGGAATGGGAGTCTCTTCCATTTTCATGTGTCTCCCTAGTAAACAGCTTTCTCTTGGGGGCTTGATCATGAAGACTGCTCTAAGAGGAGAAAAGAAACGACAACAACAATGAGAATAACACATAACCAAGCCAGAAGTCCAGGCATGGTGGTACAGTCTTTACTCTTAGAATGTGGGAGACTGAAGCAGACCATGGCAAGTATCAGGCTGGTGTAGGTTATGTAGCAAGACCCTATTTCAAAAATCAAGAAGGATGTAGTTCAGTATAAGAATGCTTTGTTTAGCAATCGCAGAGCTTTGGGTTTGTTCTTCGGTATTACAAAATAAAATAAATTCCTCCAAACATAGTTTCAGAACAGCTGCACCACCAATAGCAACAGAAAAGAAAGTAGGAAATAGTACAGAGCAAATGTAAAGGCAAAAAGTTAATGAGGGTAAATGAATAATAATAAAGAATAGAAAAGGGAGATGGGGCAAGAAAAAAAGAAGCAAGATTTTTTAAAAAATGGAAAAATGTAAAAGAGAGAAGTAAAAACCCAATTAAAAATAAGTAAATAAAATGAGATAAAAGTGAGAAAACGGGAACAAAAAACTGAAAAAGAGAATAATGAGTAAAAAATTTGTTTTTGTTGTAGCACTTGGATTGAAAAAATCTCTTTCCGACTGTTTCTCCAACCAAGGACCACGTGTGGATATAACCTAGAACCCCTGCTCGGATATAGTCCATGGTAGCTCAGTGATCAAGTGGGTTCTATAGTAAGGGGGAACAGGGACTATTTCTGACATGAACTCAATGGCTGGCTCTTCTACACCCCCCACCCCTGATGGGGGAACAGCTTTTCTAGGCCACAGAGGAGGACATGGCAGCCAGTCCTGAAGAGATTTGATAACCTAGGGTCAGATGGAAGGGGAAGAGTTCCTCCCCTATTAGTGGACTTGGAAAGGGGCAAGGAGGAGATGAGAGAGGGAGGGTGGGATTGGGAGGGAATGAGGGAGTGGGATACAGCTGGGATACAAAGTGAATAACCTGTGATTAATATGAAAGAAAGAAAGAGAGAGAGAGAGAGAGAGGGAGGGAGGGAGGGAGGGAGGGAGGAAGGAAGGAAAGAAAGAAAATGTCTCTTTCCACGTCTTTTATTGGAAATCCCCAGAAGTGGGTGGGGTTAGTGAATCAGCTGAGGCCTATTGTGATGAGGCTCAGCTCCTGTTAAATAGGCTGGTCTGTGCCTCACATTTCCCACTAGTTCTGTTAAGTGTGGCTCATCTGTGACAGGGGTAGGTTCCTTCTAGAAGCTGTGCGTGCATATGCAAATCTAGAAGGCACTGGATAAGCTCAAGTTTCAATTCCTCGGATGCCATCACCATAGAAATTTTTTGAGATAGGGTCTGTCCCTGGCCTGGAACTTATCGACTAGGCTAGGCTAGGCTAGCTGTCCAATAAGCCCCAGGAATCTTTCTGTTTCCACCTCCTCAGTGCTGGGATCACTTGCATGTAATCCCATAGAGACCTCCATAGTTGGCTTTTTTTTTTTTTTTTTTTTTTTTTTTTGGAGACATGTTCTCAATGTGTAGCTTAGAACTAACAAGGTAGACCAGGACATCCTTGAACTCACAGAAACCCACCTACCCATGTCTCCCATGTGTTAGGATTATATAGGCATATGTCATGCTTGGCTTTTTTATTATGATGACGATTTTGACATGGGCTTTGGGATCAAACTCAGGATGCCATGCTTGGAAGGGAAGTGCTTGATCAACTGGACCATCTCCAAAATCCCCTGTTTGCAGAAGGTCAACAAAGTTTGGATTCCATTAAAGCCCCTATTCTGTGTACCCGGGAATGTGGCAAATGGAGAAATCACGATGCCGTGGTTGAAATGTGAAACGTCCCCATAGACACATGTATTTGACCACTTAGTTCCCAGATGGTTGCGCTGCTAGGAAGGTTATAGAACCACTAGGATGTGAAGCTTCGTTAGAGAAAGTATGTCACCAGGGGGTGGGCCTTGAGATTTCATGGCCCAGCCATGCTTCCTGCTCACCCTCTATCTCCTTCTTGCAGATACAGTGAACTTCTGCTCCTGTCGCCATGTCTTCCCTGCCCTGATGGAATTTATCACTTGAACTGTGAGCCAGAATAAGTCCTTAAGCTGCATCTTGTTAGATATTTGGACCCAGTAGTGATGAAAGTAAGTAATATACACTGTGTCTCCCCAAATGCCTCAGGAAATAGGACATATATATGGATAACTTGTTTCACAACCTGCAACCTGCACTGCTTGAAGTTTAGCTTATGGCACACTCTCTCTTTCCCATGACTGCTTCTCCTTGTGTCCTCCTGTTTGATAGCTCGTGATTATAGCACTCAGAGTCTTCTTGCTTGGAACGAAACTAGTCTAGAGATCTGACATCAATCACAATTCAAAGGAAACCCTGTTGTAAGTGATGCATATAGTATTTGTTGTCCCCATCTTCTTTTTTTTTAAATCATTTGTTGTTTTTTTTAATTAAGTGTGGTTTTCTATTTTTTTAATTTATTTATTTTTATTAATTACAGTTTATTCACTTTGTATCTCCCCATAAAGCCCTCCCTCCTCCCCTCCCAATCCCATTCTCCCTTGCCCTTCTTCACACATGCCCCTCCCCAAGTCCACTGATAGGGGAGGTCCTCTTCTCCTTCCTTCTGATCTTAGTCTATCAGATCACATCAGGAGTGGCTGCATTGTCATCTTCTGTGGCCTGGTAAGGCCGCTCCCCCATCAGGGGGAGGTGATCAAAGAACAGGCCAATCAGATTATGTCAGAGGGAGTCCCTCTTCCCATTACTATGTAACCCACTTGGACACTAAACTGCCATGGGCTACATCTGTGCAGGGGTTCTAGGTTATCTCCATACCTGGAACTTGGTTGGAGTATGAGTCTCTGGGAAGTTCCCTGTGTTCAAATTGTCTGGTTCTGTTGCTCTCCTTGTGGGGTTCCTGTCCTCTCTAGATCTTACCATTTCCCACTTCTTACATAAGATTGCCTGCACATTGCCAAATAGTTGGCCATAAGTCTCAGCGTCTGCTTTGATAGTCTGCAGGGTAGCGCCTTTCAGAGGCCCTCTGTGGCAGATTCCTAGGTTGTTTTCTGTTTTCTTCTTCTTCTGATGTCCATCCTCTTTGCCTTTCGGGATGGGGATTGAGCATTTTAGTCAGGGTCCTCTCTCTTGATTAGTTTCTTTAGATGGACAGCATTTAGTAGGTTTATCCTATGTTATATGTCTATAAGAGTGAGTATATACCCTGTGTGCATCTTTCTGCGCCTGGGACAGCTCACTCAGGATGATCCTTTCCAGGTCCCACCATTTACCTGCAAATTTCATGATTTCCTTATTTTTCATTGCAGAGTAATACTCCATTGTGTAGATGTACCACAATTTCTGTATCCATTGTTCAGCTGAGGGGCATCTGGGCTGTTTTCAGCTTCTGGCTATTAAAAATAAAGCTGCTACAAACATAGTTGGGCAAATGTCCTTATTGTGTACTTGAGCCCCTTTTGGATATGTGCCTAGGAGTGGTATGGCTGGATCTTGGGGAAGCACTATTCCTAGTTGTCTGAGAAAGCGCCAGATTGATTTCCACAGTGGTTGTATGAGTTTGCATTCCCACCAGCAGTGGAGGAGGGCTCCCCTTTCTCCACAACCTCTCCAGCATGTGTTGTCACTTGAGTTTTTCATCTTGGCCATTCTGATGGGTGTAAGTTGAAATCTCAGGGTCGTTTTGATTTGCATTTCCCTGATGGCTAATGACATTGAGCATTAATTTTAAGTGTTTCTCTTCCATTCAATGTTCCTCTACAGAGAATTCTCTGTTTAGCTCTGTTCCCCATTTTTAAATTGGATTACTTGGTTTGCTGTTTTTCAGCTTCTTTAGTTCTTTATATATACTGGATATTAGTCCTCTGTCAGATTGAAGGTTGGTGAAGATTCTTTCCCAATCTGTAGGCACTCGTTTTGTTTTGATGATGGTGTCCTTTGCTTTACAGAAGCTTTTCCTTTTCATGAGTTCCCATTTATTTATTGTTGCTCTTAGAGCCTGTGCTGTTGGTGTTCTGTTCAGGAAGTTGTCTCCTGTGCCAATGAGTTCAAGGGTATTCCCCAATTTTCTTCCTAACTGGTTTAATGTGTCTGTTTTTATGTTTTTATGTTAAGATCCACTTGGACTTTAGTTTTGTGCAGGGTGATAACTATGGATCTATTTGCATTTTTCTACATGTAGACATCCAGTTAGACAAGCACCATTTGTTGAAGATGCTATCTTTTCTCCATTGTATGGTTTTGGCATCTTTGTCAAAAATCAGGTGTCCATAAGTGTGTGGGTTTATTCCTGGGTCCTCTGTTCGGTTCCATTGATCCACCATTCTGTTTCTATGCCAGTACCGGGCAGTTTTTATAACTGTTGCTCTAAAGTACAGCTTAAGATCAGGGATGGAGATACCTCCAGAAGATCTTTTATTGTAGAGGATTGTTTTAGCAATTCTGGGTTTCTTGTTATTCCATATGAAGTTGAGAATTTTTCTTTCCAGGTCTGTAAAGAATTGTGTTGGTAATTTGATGGGAATTGCATTGAATCTGTAGATTGCTTTTGGTAAGATGGCCATTTTTACTATGTTAATCCTGCCAAGCCATGAGTATGGGAGATCTTTCCATCTTCTGATATCTTCTTCTAATTCTTTCTTCAGAGACTTGAAATTTTTTTCATACAAGTCTTTGACTTGCTTGGTTAGGGTTACTCCAAGGTACTTTATGTCATTTGTGGCTATTTTGAAGGGTGTTGTTTCCATAATTTCTCTCTCAGCCCTTTTGTCTTTTGTATACAGGAGGGCTACTGATTTGAGTTAATTTTGTATCTGGCCACTTTGCTCAAGTTGTTTATCAGCTGTAGGAGTTCTCTGGTAGAGTTTTTGTGGTCACTCACGTATACTATCATATCATCTGCAAATAGTGATAATTTGACTTCTTCCTTTCCAATTGGTATCCCCTTCAACTGTCTTATTGCTCTAGCAAGGACTTCCAGAACTATGTTGATGAGATATGGAGAGAGTGGGCAGCCTTGTCTTGTCCCTGATTTCAGTGGGATTGCTTTAAGTTTCTCGCCATTCAGTTTGATGTTGGCTATAGGTTTGCAGTATATCGCCTTTACTATCTTTAGATATGTGCCTTGTATCCCTGATCTCTCCAATACTTTAAACATGAATGGATGTTGGATTTTTCAAATGCTTTTTCAGCATCTAGGGACATTGTCATGTGGCTTTTTTCTTTCAGTTTGTTAATATTATGGATCACATTGATGGATTTCCATATACTGAACCACCCCTGCATGCCTGGGATGAAGCCTACTTGGTCATAGTGGATGATATCTTTGATGTGTTCTTCTATTCGGTTTGCAACTATTTTGCTGAATATTTTGCATCAATGTTCATAACGGAGATTGGACTGAAATTCTATTTCTTTTTTGGGTCTTTGTGAGGTTTAGGTACCAAGGTGACTGTGGCTTCATGGAATGAGTTTGGCAATGTTCCTTCTGTTTCTGTTTTGTGGAAGAGTTTGAAGAGAGCTGGAGTTAGCTCTTCTTTGAAGGTCTGGTAGAATTCTGCACTGAAACCATCTGGTCCTGGGCTTTTTTTTGGATGGGAGACTTTCAATGACCGCTTCTATTTCCTTGGGGGATATAGGACTATTTAATTGATTTACCTGGTCCTGATTCAGCTTTGATAAGTCGAATCGATCAAGGAAATTGTCCATTTCATTTAGATTTTCAAATTTTGTGGCATATAGACTTTTGAAGTAAGTCCTAATGATTGTTTGGATTTCCTCAGTGTCTGTAGTTATGTCCCCCTTTTCATTTCTGATTTTGTTGATTTGGATGGTATCTTTCTGCCTTTTAGTTAGCTTGGCTAAGTGTTTGTCTATCTTGTTGATTTTCTCAAAGAACCAGCTCTTGGTTTCATTGATTCTTTGAATTGTTTTATTTGTTTCTAATTGATTGATTTCAGCCCTGAGTTTCATTATTTCCAGCTGTCTACTCCTCTTTGGTGTGTCTGCTTCTTCTTTTTCTAGGGTTTTTAAGTGGCCCATTAAGTTACTTGAATGAGCTGTCTCGAATTTCTTCTTGAAGGCACTTAGAGCTATGAACTTTCCTCTTAGCACTGCCTTCATTGTGTCGCCCAAGTTTAGGTATGTTGTGTCTTCATTTTCATTGAGTTCTAGGAAGACTTTAATTACTTTCTTTATTTCTTCCCTGACCCAGCTGTCATTTAGTAACAAGTTGTTCAGTTTCCATGTGTGTGTAGGCTTTTTGCTATTTCTGTTGTTGTTGAGGTCCAGCTTTAGTCCATGGTGATCAGACAGGATACAAGGGATTATTTCAATCTTCTTGTATCTGTTAAGGCTCGCTTTGTGACCAACTGTGTTGTCTATTTTGGAGAAGGTTCCTTGAGGTGTGAGAAGAAGGTAAATTCTTTTGTGTTTGGGTGTAAGGTTCTGTAAATGTGTGTCAGGTCCATTTGATTCATGGCCTCTGTTAGAGACGTTGTTTCTTTGTTTAATTTCTGTTTTGTTGACCTGTCCTTTGTTGAGAGTAGGGTGTTGAAGTCTCCCACTATAAATGTGTGGGGATCTATATGTGGTTTAAGTTTTATCAATGTTTCTTTTACAAATGTGTCTGCCCTTGTATTTGGGGTATAGATGTTTAGGATTGTGATGTCTTCCTGGTGGAATTTTCCCTTGATGAGTATGAAGTGTCCTTCCCCATCTCTTTTGATTAATTTTGGTTGAAAGTCTATTTTATCAGATATTAGAATGGCCACTCCTGCTTGCTTCTTGGGTCCATTTGCTTGGAAAGCTGTCTTCCAACCCTTTACCCTCAGGTAATGTCTATCTTTGTGACTTAGGTGTGTTTCTTGTATGCAATAGATTGCTTGCTGGGTTTTGTTTACACATCCATTCTGTTAGTCTGTGTCTTTTTATTGGAGAATTGAGTCCACTGATGTTGAGAGAGATTAATGACCAGTGGCTGTTAGATCCTTTGACTTTGATGTTGGCTGTGGTGA